ATCAATTCTGTAAACTAATACAGAGAGAAGGGTACTTGTGAATGTTTGCTCCTACATTGTATGTTCAGTGTTATTTACACTTGTTTGGAAAATGATTTTTTTTTTTTTTCAAAGAGGATTTTCTGACAATGTGTCTGTATTGACATGAATTCAATAATGTTCATTTATTTGATATTGATTCTGGCTGTGGGTCATACAATACATGCACTACTGAAGAATGCGATGTGGGTCAGGATATTATTGACTTTGTGGAATACGTGCAGATTTGCATGAAAGTCATCAAACCAAAGCACAATCATATAATCTACCCAAAGCCTAAAGGGCATTTACACCTTTTTTTTGGAGGGGGGGGGGGGGGTTATAAACAGAAGGAAAAAACTCCTGTCTTGCAACCAAAATGGGTAGAGGATTGTGAGCAATATGATTGGTCAGATGATAATAAAAATAATAATACTCAGTTTTTATATAGCGCTTATTAGAATCACTAAGCGCTTCCAAACTTGGAGATTATTACCCCGGCTTTAGCTGTGCTGCCATTGCGGCGCTCTAGCAATCCAAAGAATTAATTCCTGCCAGGTACCCATTTACATCACCTGGGTTGAGTGTGGTAAATGTAGATCAATGTCATGAGACCATGTGTTAATTTTTCCTTGCCTTTTTAAAAAGATAGTAACTTTAGGTTATCAACAAAATTATCTCTGATAGTAATGTTGCATTATTTCTGGAAAGAGGAGAAGAAACAAGAAGCATATATTCCTTTCGCAATAAAGTAGGCTATCAAAGGGCAGAAAAGGGAGGCTTAATAGAGATTGAAGAGGCCCAAGATCAGACTTTACAAACCGATACATATGAACATGTGTGGTGTATTATACACATCAGCACCATATTGCAAGCTTGCATCTAAATTGTATAATTTCATCTTCCTTCCTACATTTCTAACAAGCGCAGAAAAACATAATTTTTCTCGATCAGAACACTTTCAAGATTGCTATCAATGATTCCTGTTCGCTCAACTCTGAATCATCGCCACATTTTTCCTCTGCGCTAACAAGAGCAGGAAAAACTCCGCCTGGCGCGAGTCAAGCAAACGGATCAAAAAAGGTTCATTTTTCTTTTCCCACCCTGCAGCCCTGATGGGATATTTCCACACTCTAAACGGAACTGACAGGTCCGAGACGCGCTTTTATTCTCCCTTTCCGCAGACACCTGCAACCGCGTCAAGAAACAAGCAAGAGAATGAAAGAAAGCCTAAATAGGAGGCTGAGAATTTCATTCCCTGAAATTTCAGTGAAATTGTGATAAATTTATAAATAGAATGCTGTTGTTTTCGTCTTTCGAGGCTCATAGAAAAGTGACAAAAGAAATGATTTCTCTGTAGACCTACTTGTTAACGGCAAGAAGTATCAACTGGGAATTCACTCTGGTCCTAATCGATTTCATTCTTAAAGATTGTATCACCCATGACTCAATATGCATTATGAAACTTATTAAATGGATATCAATAAAACTAATTGAGTTAACTACAGATTGTGGCACTATCGGGTGGAAAGTCAAATCTCTTGAGAAACAAAATCCTTCGCATTTAAGTGAGTGCCTTTGAAGTAATGACAGATTAGATACAGACATGTACATTTACAAAGGGCGCAAGCCTGCAATGAATTAAGTATAAAAATATAAATGGAGCCCTCATTAAAAGTATAATATGTGGTAATATTTTTGGAAAATCAAAAAATTCAAAGTGTTGACGTTCACAAAGACAGCAGACCTAACAAAGTACTGCAGCAAGCCCATAATGATATTAGACATTTTGCATTCTCCTAAATTTATAAAAGTTGTGCACACACGTACATGTACATGTAGCAGCACCAAGGCATGCCCAGGACAAAGAATCATCAGAATATTATGTTTATGGCTCTCCCTCTTTTTGAACAAATCTGCCTTTTGCATTCTAATAGCGATTTTCAGTTTAAACAAATTTTTGGCCCCCAAATGGTATATTACGGTACTGCACAAATATTTCAAGACTAAAAAGTTTTCTGCACTTCTTTGTCTTGTCTACCTCCATCTCTTCATTGCGAAAAGATGTGGCATTCCCCCTCATTGATGATCATCAAATGAAGCCCACCAACAAATATATGGCTTGAGGCAGTGTTGGCAGGGAAGATACCCCACAGGCCAGAGAGGGATGCCTACCAATTTGTCTGATTTCCCGCATGTCAAGGCAATCAGGACATCTTAACGGGCCCAGGATATTCAGGGAAACACATCGCTGAGCAAGGAATGCAAGACGGAGGCTACCCTCCATGCGGTTGAAACTTGACATGTTTTGGAGGAAATCCACACTCACGAATACATGTGGTCATTGTAGAATGTAGGGGAGGCTTAAAGCCCCACTGCACTACTCATAGCTACTTGCGCCCTCTATTTAGCAAACAATACCTAATCGGTGCCTGTTCGTCCCCCATGATCCTCTATTTCTTATGTTAATTGAGAGCTGATTTGACGAGATAACCACCTGTCAGTGACCTTGCAGGTAGCTCTAATCCCCCCTGGCCAAACTTGTACAGACGGGCTTTAAGTTTGAGTTGTAGTAAAGCATGGAAATATAGGATGTGCAACAATTGATAAATGCATTGATGGAAATGGAGAATACTTTGTGGGTAAACACAATAAATTACAGTTTTGAAAAGGCACACACTGGAAGATGGAAAAGAGAACCATTTCGCAAACTGATTAAACATCTTTGATGGTATAAAAATATGGAAAAATGTAATATTGAGTAGAAATATTTGAAAGCAGTTGGAAATTACAGGAACGTTGATGTCTAATGTTATGCTTCCACTTTGTATGTGTTGCACATTGATGATGAACATTACACAGCCCTTTACCATGTTTGTTGATAGTAATTGAATTACCAGATTTGATTATCATGTATGACTCAATGAAACAATTAACAAAACATGATCATGTATACCTCTGGATCGAGATCTTACAATGAAATGTGTCTGTTTTCTTTATTCTCGATGATGTAATGTACTCTCTTTCAGATCTGCATCATAGGATTTTTTCTTCTTTTTGAACGATACACAATGAGACATTATGCTATAAATATAAATTCTAAATATCAGGGAAGATGTATGAAATTTATGATTTAAGAGATTCTACTTGCAGTATAAATTCAAACACAGCGAATATGAGCACATGATTACGAAAGAGTAAACAGCTGAAAATTCAAGAAATGGCACAGAGGTCCAAACATTCAAATGGGAATCATTTGCATGTTCAAAATAGTTCAACTTTTTGCTCATACTTTTACTATTACCCCCACTTACCTGTTTTCGCATACTATAGCTACTACGTGCCTTTCTGAAAAAGTTTGATAATACTTATATGTTACTTCAAAGTGCATGCAATGAGTCCTATGATAGAGCTCCAACAACCAAAGGTTTGGTAATTCTACAGTTTCTGCCCAAACTAATTCTAATTTCCAGAACATCCTAAAAATGCCTAAAATGATACTAAAATGATCAACAATACCTTCTTGATGTAGAATAACTAGCCCAAGGTCAACTCTGAAGCTCATTTGTACAATATCGCAATATTCATTGATCATACACACGGTTAGAATAGAGTTTGACCATGACTAGTCATTCTGCACCAAGAAGGTATTGTTGATTATTTTAGTATCTTTTAAAATCATTTTAGAGCATTTTTAGGATGTTCTGGAAGTTTGAACTAGTTTAGGCAGAAACTATAGAATTACCAGCGTTTGTCTTTATGTATCAAGTGTGATTTATTTAGCAAGCTTCCCAATAGTCGTGTAGTTGAGAAAATATCATCGGCTTGGAGCCACAAGGGCATTGACTCTGTGTTAAAGAATACTACAGTGGACAATGCCTTTATGGCTCCAAACAGACCATATTCAGTCACATCACCCATTTCATCTGTAACTTTCAAAGACGGTTCTGTTATCTGCACAAGCTGTATAATGATAACTTCTCTTTCCTCACCTTCATTTAAAATTCACTTTCAGGTTGACTGAATGAAAGTAAAAACAAGATGAAGGATCCAACCCTTTGTTTGATACTTGATGTTTTCTTGGTTTCATTGATAATGTACAATCTGAAAGTGATCTTAAGGGGGGAAATATAAATAAATCACACTCATCAACAGTGTTGGTTGTTGGAGCTGGAATACTTGATACTTTCAGGAAGTTTGATAACTGGCTATCAAAACCTGAAGTCTGGAAGAATACAATTTTACAGAAATGTGTATAGATTCATCAAGATAAATTTCAAAAAAATGTTCAGTAATGTGCATTTTTTCTTTCACTTGCTTTTTTTTTCTCATGAAGATGCACTCATTCAAAATATCACCCACAAAATGTTCAGGCCTTTAACACTCAGTGGATATGGATTTTGGTCAAGTACATGGTGTACCACAATTGTTTGTTTGGTTTGTTAACTTTGTTTTAATCTTAACATGATAGAGATCAACATCCAACAAGACACTAACATGTAGATTAGGTGTATAAATGTACATGTATTTGTACAATAACAGTTGTTTTGTGAACCATTCTTGGAAAGAGAAACACAATAAAGTAATAAACAGTACTCCTTTTTGACAATTGATTGAGCAATGCTATAAAATATTGCTAAAAAATTGAGCCTAAAAAAATGTTGGCAAAGTACAACAAATGAAGAGATTTTGATTTAGCATCTTTTCTTGTTTGATCTTATGACGTTTCTTTTGTTTGTTTTAATATAATAAAATGCCTTTTGCATCAGAAAATAGATAAGGTCCCTTTTTGAAACAACACAAAGATTTGGTATCTGCCAAAGGCATAAAATACCTTGCTGTGACATGAACCAAAAGATATTTAGGCATTCTAAGGTTTTGAACCATTCCACTTCTCAGACATCCCAGCTAAATATCCTAATTGTTAAACGCCTGAACTTGCGGATGACCAATGACTACAGTCAGACGCCACTTCTAATTACCTTCATGTTGGTAGGTCCGGCCTTACGCACCATGGCTGCTTCAGGTGGGAAGATTGTACGGTCCGCTAGATGACCTGGACTAAAGAAGGTCCTCTGCGATACCTGCTGCTGGAAGGTCTGCGTGTGATGCGGCTGGAAGGCCAAGCTCTGATGGTCACCGAAGCTCTGACCCTGGACGGATTGCGCCTGGTCAGCAAAATTACAGAAGTGAGAGAAGTCGGCCGGTCCTGCAAGACTGCTCTGCCCGAAATGGGTTGGCGTGAACTGCTGTTGAGCCTGCTGTGGCTGGGGTGGCTGCCAGTCTGTTATTGAGAGAGCATGGATAAGGGGGAGGGAGTATGAGAGGAAGAGTTACTACTTGCGAGTAAGTGAGTGAGTAAGGCAGGCACGATGCGTACTACTACGAGCGACAGTCACAGGGATATTTGATTTAAGGGATTATGTCAACAAGCTTGTCCTAGACCGATCGACGGTTGCTCGTTGAAGGGGAAGAGAAAAATTGCTGAGTGGACTATTTGCGTCTATCATAGGGGTGCTCATGTGCTACTGCAGGGACATGGCTTGTGTAGCAATGAGGTTTATTAATGTAAGCATGTTTGTAGAGACATGCACGATATGGGTACATTAAAAAAGACCTGTTGATCTGGTTACAACTGACATTCTACAAGTGCTTTACTGTATGTACATGGTTTAATGATTTCCTAAAAACTTCTTTTCAAGGCTTGCCAAATATACAAAAGACTAAATAAACAAAGGTGGAATTGTGACAGAACAATGGATGAGTTCACAATTTGATTAGCACAACTTTGTAGAAAAATAAACATGTTCCAAACAAACTGGATCGCTTTACAATATCAGAATACACGAGGATGAATTGTAAATTGAAATTTGTCAATACAAAGAAAATAAGACATTCTTTGCATCGTATCTGAATGCAGACATTTAACATTACAACTTGGCAATAGGATCTAAATATTACCAACAATGACTACATGTATATAACCAAATTGTAATTGCGATACAACTTGGTACTTCCGGCCCAAAATAACTTCAAGCAAATTCAAAGGCTTTGTGAAAATCGCATTACTTACAAGTCCCCATTGGCAAAACATGTGCTGTTTCTGTGAGAATCATTTTGGAAGACATGCACTAAAAATCGTTCTCGCCCAATTCTAGTCAGCGGTGATATTAACTCCCCATATTTGATATTCTTGGTCTTTATAAGGGTTTTCTTTTGGTTATTTGAAATGACACGGAGGAAAACACAGTGATGTCAAATTCTAAATTGAGATTAAGTTTCTGAATGAATGACATCAAGGGAAAAGTGATGTCCTTCCTGAAAGTTTTGATACCATGTTATCACAAGTCTATACTACACAGAGTTCGGAAGTGTTGCCAGAGAGAGTGAGAATGCAAGAGAGAGAGAGAAAGAGAGAAGCCGAGGTGAATCAATTGTCAACAAATACAATGCTATTCAGAATTCAGAGTTTCCCTTATTAGGGGGAGATCCAGCAGTTTCACGTACAGGAAATTCACGTCCTGTACAACTTTGTGTATACTTGGGGCTTCCGCACTCTCCTCCCTCTCTCTTTCTCTCTTTCGGTTCCAACGACAGAGTTTGAAAATAGCCGAGAATTCAAGTCAGACCGGTAGCGCTGTGATCTCACAGGAAGACATCGGGCTAGGAGAGGATATCCTGCATGTATAATACGACCCGACAGGTTTGGGATATCAACTCTCCATTTCTTTCATCACGCGAAAATAGCACAGTTTAATGCAGGGCCCCGTACCTACCACAAATCTTACAATTCGCAATCAATTGCAAATTTTAACCACCAATTCTGATTGGTTAACGGTCAGCATTTTGAACAATATGAGCATGCAACAATGACCTTGATAGCCTTGATTGGCCATTGCCATTTTGTGATCAATTGCAAACCTTTGTTACAGAGCCGAGACCTACAATAATAAATACAACTGTACAACATTTGTTTGTGTACATAGTTTAATGTACATGTATAACCCTTGTACATACATTCTCAGCAAAATTCGGGAAGTGAGCCATCAATACAAAACTTCAACCTTGCCACAATAATCGATTAGTCTATTTTTGTTAGCATCTACACGTGACTCACTGGAATAAATTTGGCAGTCTCATTTTTGCTGACTGGACATTATATTTATAGCTCTGGAATTGAACTACAGGAAGACAGTAAAACTAATCCAAAATGACAAAAATGCACTTAGAGTCTTAGAGCAAGATTATTGTTTACCTGTAGCAGGGTCCTTAATAAGTAGGCCTATAGTACGGTAAATAACTAAATATTATGCACTTTTAAAAATGTTTAAAAAAAGTAAATTTACCAAATCAAATTGGTTGATTTATTGTTTTCCTTTATACATGTTTATATATAAATAACACGATCGCAAATAATTTTGATAAATCATCCGAAGGGTAATTTCAATGCCCTTTTGTATGTGCCATAGACATCAGTATGTAGTTGTAATATGTGTAATGTTCGCACATTCCAGAATTCCTTTACACAGCCACTGAAAGTACCTTAGGTTAATTTTTCTAAAGTAGTGATCGGGTTAAATGTACTCAAGGAAAAACACAGACACCCAAAGAGAGACATATCAAATCTTTTTTTTACTCGTATAACACGTCAGCTGGCCAAATCTGCAATGCGTGTTCAGTTCACCATAAACCCCACCCACTTATATGATTTTTATATGATAAGACGATCAGACTAAAGCGGGCCCTGATTCTTTATCAAGTTTTCATTTGAAAAGATGCCCAACATGAGTTTTGCTCTACGTTTTGTTACACAAGGTTTCTTTATGAGGTTCAGACTTGAAAACAAGTACCTATGTGTAGTTACACAGCTATGCGCTGAGTTCTGGTTGCATGAACCCATGGATAGAAGGCGGTTCAGATATTTTAGAGTCGTACGCACGAGCCCATGTTAAAAAATATTGATACTAGAGAGATGGGGATGCGGCGGTCCAGACTAACATTTTGAGCGGAATGAGCGCCAATGTGCCGCAGCTACTTGAAGCCCTTGATCTTCAATACAGAATCCCCCTACCAGTATGCTATAGGTACTTGGCAATAACAGAAACAGGACATACATTGGTGTAGACTTGTACTATCCTGTAAGTATCCTGTATGTTCTTGGTCTAGAGAGGGCTAGCTGCATGCTTGTAAGCATGCTCTTCATTACTTTAATGTTAATTATGTGATTTCTAGGCATCACATACCGGTACCTATAAATGCAACCAAGTTGACCCCTCGTAAAAATAGTGACAAAAATGCTGATTAAGCTGAATGGATAATAAGTGATATTGAAATGTATTGACACAAAATATATCAAACTCTTTTATTTTATTACTACCGTATGACATGTTCAGACTTGATTTATTCTTGTTTATAACATCATCTATGCACATATTACAAATGTTGCATGATGCGAGGTAGTAACATCTTTGGTGTTGATACTTTAAAAGAATTCACAATGATTTGCATGCCCTCTTCAGACTAATGATGAACAAGGTATGTTTACTGAACACTTAACAACTTATAATCATACTTTCTTACCAAACAAGTTCAATGAGTCCACATTATATGATGGCTATATGACATTAGGGTACAATGTACACTGTGGAGTCACAAGCAAAAATATTTGATGAAAATTTAAATCAAGTTTTAACACAAGTTGCTTGTATGAGGGCGCTCCTTTGCAAAATCTATAAGCTGGACTGGTTCAGATTGATTCTCAAGCATGCAAAGATTCTGAAATATATTGGCACCAATACTAAACTATATGACTAACGCGATGATTTTCAGACTGAAGAGAAGCGACTAAAGAGAAATAATGATGCTGACCAAATCTAATCAAAGCACATTATACAGTGTATAATGTATACTGGAAAATGGAAATCAAAACGAATTAAATGAAACTACATGTACATTGTATATATCCTTTAAAAATGATTTAAATTGATTAATTTTGGTAGTGACTATGTTTGAGAATTTCATGTGATCATGAAAGAATGTTGTACTGTTTATCTATTTGGTTTAGAATAAATGAAATCCTGGAAGTCGGAAGAATCTTGATGAAAGTTTAACAAGGACAAAATTAATGTGCACAGTACTTCAAGAACAAGAAGATGAATTTTGTTTATGAAAAGCCCGAGGGAAAAAAATGATAGATAGTACCGTAACAAACTCTGGGTGAAATTTCATAGGAATTTAATAACATTTCCAGATTTTCACTATACATTCCCACACCATCTTTTCAACCAATTTTTAACATGCATCTTGAAAAAAACATATGATTTTCGACAGTTCTAATATTACAATATAAGTCACTTACTTGTTCTATGAACAGAGTCGCTCTTAGACTGGTGATACATTGTTGTAGAGAAAGGCAATTCCTAAACTTGGTGAAATCTATCCACACATATATTATTGCAAAATGCTCACAAGTGCAGAACCACTCATTTTAATCTTCCATTCCACGAGCTTATAAATTAAACAATATCCACAATCTGTCTCTAACAAGGAAGATGCTTTCATGAATAAGCATTTTCTAAATTTGGTGACAAAATAAGGATATCAAAAGTGAGTCATTGTATTTTTGATTGGTCCAATAAGCTCATCTTAGTGATACGACTATAACAAAATAAGAAAGGTGATCAATAGAATTGCTAAATCATTAACTGGACAGAGCAGTATCTATGACTGATGTAAATGTTATTTTTATCGTTAGAATTTACATGTAGGTACATGTAGGTAGGTGGGTGGGATTTAGCAATTCACACAAATTGGCAAGATTCCTAGAAATTCCATGCTGCACAATGATCAGAACTGACACAACATGGATTTTTTGCAATTTGTTTTAAAAGTTATAGAACAGGGGCGGTATTCTGAACCCTGTGTTATCTCTAATATTGTTGCATCTTTGGAGATAAGATAAAGTTGGTATTCTGAACATTGTTGTAACTTTTGTGTTATCTTTTGTTGTATCTTTTCTCTCATCTCATTGGCCGCGCCTGCGCTCATAGTTTGGTGCGCTTGTAATTGTGCGTATTATTAATAAAGTGGCGTTTAATCCTCATTTGCATATGCGCACCAGAGATAATATGTAGAGATAATTGGTATTCTGAAAGTTGTTGTATCTTTTATCTTATCTTATCTTACATGGTTTTTACAACAATATTTACAACAGGTAGGGGGTTGTTGTATCTTTCGTGGTGATATAATAGCGGCAATATTTCTTGCCCAGAACCAACTTCGTGCCAATAGACGAGTTAGAAAAAGATTGTGTGTTGACCAGAAAAATCACAGATGAGAACTTTCCAAGAAATTACATGCTAGGAAATGACGATTTTAATGCTCTCATCGCAACCAATATAGTGAAAGCGTGATTTGTCTTTATGATCCACATGCCACAGCGCATAACGATGATGCGCGTAATAAGTGCTCAAATAACTAATTATGCCCAAGATTAGTATGCGCTAGACGCATCTTCAGATATGGCATAAAGTATTCCTATTGGTTGACCTACTTATCATGCTTATATAAAACAGATTTTGATTGGTAGGGTTCATACAAATGGGCGTGTCAACAGTGGTCAAAGATAAGATAGAGGCGGTCCTTCAAGAGATAACACAGGGATAAAATGATGTTCAGAATACCAATTAACAACAATATTAGCGCTGTGTTATCTCTGGACTCTGGTCATTCTAGACCCCCAAATTTAAGCAACTGAAGATTTTAGGGCTTTGCAGAAATTTGTGGGGATTCAAAAAAGTAATTAGCATAACCTACATTCGTACACAATTTTCAAAGTTACAGCACCAAGACTTCTAAACACACCAGGGAAAAAATACTGAAATTTTTTTGGGGTTAATTTTCAAGCTTGCTTGCATGAAAATAACACTTTTTATTTTGTTTGCATTGAACTCTATGCAAATTTTTGGGGGCTCTCTTATGACTTTCGGGGGCTCTTTTGGACATTTCAGGGGCTAATTTGCAACGAGCCCCCATGTATTGTTTTCAATGAAACACACAGGCACAGTCACTGCATGACTACAACGGAACTCTGAGAAAATTCACCCGAAATCATCTAAAAAACATTCTTAAAAATTTAATATGGGAGCACAAATCTAATCTCATCTCATTGTCATCATGATGACTACATGTATGAGCCAACAATCTAACATGCAATTTAATTTTAAATTACAAAATGCTGGTCCGTGCTTGCTTCATACGTCACACACTTGGTAGCCTAGGGCTAGACCTAAGGATAATTTTTTTACTATCCATGCGCTTGTTGTTGTTTTTTACGCTGGCCTCGTGTATTACAGCCACCAGCTGCACATCTTGCTGCTTTTAAAAAAGGTCACAAGTTGTCACATCAACCTCCATTGACTTGTCTGGTTAAGCGGGGGACCAAGAAATGAAAATTTGTGTTTTTTATAACATTAAACTATTGTTATTTCGCTATTTGTGGACCTAGAGTCTAGGGCAATGATTTTGGTACTATTTTAGATGTATTTTTCATGCTTTTTGAAATGGTAGTCTACTATTTTTAAGGAGATTCAATTAATTCTATTGTTTGTTCACGTACCTAGCCTAGTCTGATCTACACTGACAACTCGGCCCGCTGCAAATACGGGCCGGGGCAGACTTGTCCCAGCACACCCTAGTCTATACTAGATCTAGATCTAGATCTATAGCCTTTTGTATAGGCCCAACCATAATGCTGAACCCAAACCCCAACGGTACCCCAAACAAATTCATAACAAATTCAATCATGCCGGAACAACTCGGCCCGGTATTCACAACAGGGCCGAGTTGTCCCAGGGTGAGTTAGCCCGAATCCATCTAACTACTCTAAGTTCTAACTTAGACCTAAATAAAATAATAAGTAGATCTAAATTAGACTATTCATTAACATAGACCCAACGTTAGGTCTAATTAACATCACTCGCTCATTGACTCAATCTCATCCAGGAAAATGGGGTGCGACTTGTCACTTATTGCTTTGGGATATCACTATCATATTTCATATTATCAGTTAATTATCACCAAGTTCAGGCTAGACCGGCCGCGCGGCTTGCCCGATCTGAACTTATGAAGCCGTAAATAACTCCAACACTACTTTATTCACTTCCTTATTTTCAAGCGAATGACCCGCCGGAAGTTAGCCGATGCAATGGTCTCACCGGCTGGCGGAGCTTTGTGTGTTGTCGCAGGAGTAGTGAGTTAGTTTACGACATACCCCGCAGACAAGATCAAATTTCTCATGGAATAAAAGAGAACATTCTATATATAGATTATGATAATATCAGTTCAACATTGAAACATATGAAGATAACGTACCACAATTATAAGTATCAAATTATTTCTTAATGGGGCAATCCGTAGAAATCTCTCCGAACCTGCAGGTTTTTCGCAAAAGTTGTGTACGTAAAAAACTGCTGACTCAGCGTAATATTCATCCTCGATCATAGATATTGATAAATGTTACAGTTAAAATTAAAATAAAAACTGAATATTCATTTTAAACTCATGAGCTTCAATTTCAAAGTTAATAAAAATGCAAAGTGATATATTAAAGTAAAGAATAGAATTTCATAATTGTATAACAGAATTAAAAGTACCGCGACTCGAAATTCTCGATAACTCGCAATCGCAATACCCATTCGGGAAAGAAGGTAGTTCCTTATAGTCTCACAGTTACCGTTCAATTTGACGTCATAGAATGTAAGCAAAACTCGTATTGGTTATAGCTTGAACAAGAAACTAACTTTACTTCTTCTTCTTCTTAAATACATGTCGACAGACTTGTTAGTCCACATAGACGCTGGATTAAGCGTGCGAGGGGGAACCCCCGGTCCTTCCCCCCTCTCCCCATACACTCACACGCCTAATTTCTTTCGAGAAAAAGGAAAGAGAAAAACAGAACGGAGGGAGGAGACCGTGGAGGAAAGGCCAAAAGAGAGAAGAGGAATTAAAGGGAAATGCAATTAAGGAAAAGAATCAAACTCAAAGTGAACAGATCGAAAGAATGAAATGAAATGAAAACGTCCACAAATGGAACCAAAAAATGGAGAGGTGTGTGGGTGAGAGAGAGAGAGAAAACGGGGGGAGTGAAAGGAGAGAAAATAGTGGGGAAGGAAATAAAAAGAAAAGAAAATAAGAAAAAAAGAGAGAAGAAAGGAATTAAGAGGGATGCGAGCTAATCGATATAGATAAAGAAATAAGTTGAAAGACTGAGGATAACGGAAAAGGACAAAAGAAAAAGGAGAATAAAAGTGACAGGACGAAGAAGTGTCGTGGTCGAGGGGTTTATAGATGCGAAGGTCGAGGCCGGGTTCGAATCCCGACACGGCACTATATCCTTTGGCAAGATATTAACCTGCACTTGCTACTCTCCACCCAGGTGTCAAATGGGTACCCGGTAGGATGCGACCGTCATTGTTGGTCAAACAGCTTGTGAGCGTCAAGTAACACCCGGCTGGAATGCTCCCCAGGGAGCTAGTGGATATTGTGCACACAGTATGTGCGGGCAAGCACTGAATCCAATTTGTATTAAGCGCTATATAAAATTAAATATTATTATTATTATTATTAAAGAAGAAGTCAAGAGGAAGGAGAGGATTGATAACAGAAATGATCGACGAGGGACAAGGCTGCCTTTAGGTAAAATTATATGTATTTCAACAATAATTTCATCCGTCTCAAACTCAGACAGCAATAGCATACAAGTTGTATCATAGTTTGATAAGAATACCGCCTGTTCTTTGTCCGGCTAACCCCAACACACAAAATGGATCGTTCGTTTATTTTTCGTTTAATTTCCAAATCGACAGATTTATTATCTTTCCAGATTACACAATTTTGTTCATTGTCCCTGTTCAGGGGGTCATAATTATGCTTTACCCTATGAATATAAATTAATATAGATAAATAATAAATAACAACATAACATTAACAACAAATTTAAAAAATCAAAAATCAAAATAACCTCCAGATTTGTTAAACTTAAGTTGTTTTTAAATTGTCAAGAGCGAATAACATGTATCAATTGACTTATAAATTATGTTTATGTACTTTAAGTTTACCTTGTTGCTCTGTTTTATATACTGCAAAAGAGTTTTTGTTTAATCATGTTTATGTATCAGCAATTGATATTAAAAACGTTTATTTATTTTATTCAATTGTATGGTGTTTTTGTTTGTACTATTTTCTAGGAATAAAACAAAATTACTTAAACAAAAATATAAAACGTGGGTGCGTGCGTGTGTGCGTGTGTGCTAATCGCTATGTTGTTATTTATTTATATTTTAGTTATTTATTTCGGTTTTAACATTTAGCGTGGGTAGTGTAAAATTTGTTCGAATGAAGAAATATTTGCTGTAATTAAGAACAAGTAGGGCACAAGTGGGGCATGTCCGAGTGAAGGTTGTAGCATTTGATTTTCGCCATGTTCCCTATAATACAGTCAGTTCAGTTGGGTGCATTGCTGTTTATAATTTAGGCAATTAATGTTATGAAATTGATTTATTGTATTTGTTTACAGCTTGAAGCATAAAAGATGAGATGACGTAAAATGTGATATAGAAATATCATTGAATATGATTAGAACGCGTGGCGTTGAATTCTTAACCTATATACTGAAGTTACTTTAACTGAATTGCATTGATAAATTTTGTCAACATGCAAGTATTTCCCGGCAGCTATAGAAGGGCGCCAACATAATAGTCAAAATCAAATAGTGTAAAACCCCACAGAAAATATTTTTTTTAATAATATATTTTCAACTCCGAACTTTTTCCATCCACCTTCTATTCCAAATCATTATCCTAAATATATACAAAAATTTAAATATATACTTTCCATTCTATCCTCAAGAAAATCATAGGGGAAAAACAGTCTGGTTTTCTAAAATAAATACTATACAATATAGAGAAAATAGCAACACCAAATATATTCGCTAGTTCTTCTTTTATAAACATTATTCTTGGACCAGAACACAACAACAAATAATAATAGATAAATGTTTATAATATAGGTGCTTTACGTTAATGCGAGTATATAGGCCACGCATGTGACTTATCGGTTTTATCATTTATTTTAGCGTGGGTTGTGGAAAAGTTGATCAAATGAAGAAATACTTGCTGTTATTAAGAACAAGTGGGGCATGTCCGAGTGAAGGTTGCAGCATTTGTTTTTCGCCATGTTCCCTAAAATACAGTTATCTAAACTGCCTCATCGTAAGTTTTGTCAACATGCAAGCAGTTGGTTTCCCGGCAGCTGGAGTGCTAACCTATATACATTCGCAATAAAATAGTTTAAAACTATTTGAGGAAAAACCCCACTGAACATGTTTTCAACTCTGAATACTATTTTTTTTCCATCCATCTTCTATTCCAAGTCATTAGCCTAAATATATATAAATATTTAAAACATACATGTACCTTCCATTCCTTCCTCAAGAGAATAGGGGGAAATTTTAGTTTTCTTTAAAAAAATATTAATATAGAGAAAATAGCAACAACAAAATGTTCGCATGTTAAAATCGACTAGGGAATGGACGCAGGCAGGGGCGTACGCAGGGGGGGGGGGTGTTTTGGGGTTCAAACCCCCCCCCTTTGGTATTTTAATGTATGTAAACCCCCCTAAAAAAAACCTAAAACCCCCCCCCCCCCCCCTTTGGCTTTTTTTTTTTTTTTTTTTTTTTTTATTCAAAAAAAAAAAAAAAAAAAAAAAAATTATACCCACGGCTAACCTAAATAAGGTGACCTTACCCCCCCCCATACGTAAAAAAATGTCAAATTTTGAAATTTTGAGACCAAAAAAAAAAAAAAAGTGTCCGCTTACCCCCCCCCCCCCCCCCCCCCCCCCCCCCCCCCCCCCCCCCCCCCCCACTGAGCGACTTTTCTGCCGGCTGAGTCGTTGCGATTTTTTTTGGCCTCCAAAAAAAAAAAAAAAAAAAGTGTCCGCTTACCCCCCCCCCCCCCCCCCCCCCCCCCCCCCCCCCCCCCCCCCCCCCCCCCCAACTGAGCGACTTTTCGGCCGGCGCGATTTTCAAATTTTCGGGAGCAAAATATTTTAAAACCACCCCCTTGAAAAAATCCTGCGTACGCCCCTGGACGCAGGGACAACGCATTCCGTACAGATGACAACAATTTTTACTTAGCTATAATATACCGAACAAATTTATACCGTTCATCGTCCGAATCGTTAATTAATCGGTTTTATCTTTTAGCGTGGGTTTTGGAAAAGTTATTCGAATGAAGAAATATTTCTGTAATTAAGAACAAGTGAGGCACAAGTGGAGCATGTCCGAGTGAAGGTTGTAGCATTTTTTTTTCGCCATGTTCCCTATATAAGTCAATATTCAACCGGGTGCATTGCCATTGCTGTTTATAAGGCAATGAATGTTATGAAATTGGTTTATTATTCATTTGCAGCTTGCTGTCTGGTCGTCGAGCTCTCCATTTTTTTTCTCGAGCAGAGTGTATATTATATCGAGAAGGTAAGTACATCTAAGCTATATCTTATCTCTGACATCGGATTGCATTGACATCTTAAAGCCCCTCTATAGTGTTGGAAGCCCCAAATTCGCCAACAATTTGATGGCAAAGTTTTACTTAAATTGTATCATAACGTGAAAGAGGATGTCATTAATTAAGACACACTTTTGCAAAGACACACCCCCCCCCCCAAGAAAAAAAGTATTTGAAGACAAATATTGATAAAAGAATGATTTGGGACTTACACAGAAGGCCTAGCTTGTAATATATTCTTTCATCAATATTCGACTTCTTTAACACAATATGTATATTCCTTTTGAAAACCCTCGCAGAATAATTTAATGTGGGGCTCCCAACACTTTAGAGGGGCTTTAAGCGGTCATATTTACATGGACTTAGTTCATAATTCTTCTTATTTTATGTTGGTATTTGATTGTAAATGTAAATATTTTGTATATAAGGTTGATATGATTTGAATTTGTGAAATATAGTTGAATAGAATCGAATTATTCTACTACATTCTACAGTATTGATTCAGGCATTCCAAGACCAAGGGATGCGATTTAGGGCAATTGCCAATGCCCTCGGCTTTTCAGCAGGATCGACACCGAAAATTTCGCGAAAAGAAAAACTGCACACATACACAAACACTATATCTGGGTGGAGAGGTATAAAGAGACAGGGAGATAGAAAGAGCGAGAAATAGAGACTGGATTCAAAATGAGTCATATACTTTGATGCTGCATCAAATGAAAAAAAATAATGACGGTATTTTGTTTTCCTTCTTTTTATCGGACACAAAAAAAATGATGATCCATGGCTTATGGAAATCAAACTAATGCTCAGTATACAGTAAATAAACAGTGAAAGAAATAGACGAACATAACTATGAACTATCTTATCATGATTCTTAGTACTACACTTGGCACAATTTTTTTTTAACAATGAACAAA